ATGCTCTCTGAAAGAGGGTTACCAATCAGGAACTAAGAATTTCTGTTTCTCCATATCCACTTCAACCTAGAATATCATCCTATTTTCAAGAGTTTTTGGCAACCTGATAGACAAAACAAGGTATATCACTTTGATTTGCATTTTGCTGGTCATGGTGAGATTCCGGAAGGAACCCTTCTCGGGGGGGGACAGGGGGGACACAAGGCCAAGGGCAAGACAACAGAGGACAAGGACAAAAGGTGATTCACTGTCCAGGCACAGGTGTCAGGCCCTGTGCTGGGACCAGGGCCCAAGGGGACAAAACAGCTCACATCCTGTTCTCAGGGTGTTCCCAACCACTGAGAGAGTGCAGAGACAATGAGGTCCAGCCAGCAGGGACAGAACTGAGACACCTGCATGAGCCTCTGGGGTGCCACGGAGAGGGCCTCTGACCCCCCAGGGCCCGGGAGGGTGACCCCTGGGATACCTGGAAGGGCAGCCTGGCCAGTGGAAATCAGAACACGCGCCTCACAAGGCACCAACTCACACAGTCCCATGTGCACTCTATCGGCTTGGTTATCACTCATTCCTTCTTTATAAAACTTTAAGGTTATCTTCTGCCTTATTCACATCTCATTTTAGTTAAGAAAATCTTAACTAGTAAAGATGTATAAACATAGAACTCACAGCCATTTTCAAGGCTCCTTCCTTGTTGACCCACAGGACATCTACCTTTCACATGATTCTTGTGACAAAAGAAATCATGTGTGTTTCTGAGTCCATACATGAACATGCAACCACACAAGGCAGCCCACAAACACACACAGTGGGTGATAAAGCCTTGCTTCCCTCCGGCTGGGACACAAGACTCTAAAAAGCCCAAGCACGGGCCGGCGCTGTGGTGCAGCAGGTTAACACCCTGGCCTGAAGTGCCAGCATCCCATACGGGTGCCAATTCTAGTCCCGCTGCTCCTCGTCCAATCCAGCTCTCTACTATGGCCTGGGGAAGCAGTAAAAGATGGCCCAAGTCCTTGGGCCCCTGCACCCACATGAGAGACCAAGAAGAAGCTCCTGGCTCCTGGCTTTGGATCAGCACAGCTCCAGCCAGTGCGGCCATCTAGGGAGTGAATCAGCAGATGGAAGACCCTCTCTCTGTCTCTACCTCTCTCTGTGACTCTTTCAAATAAATAAAAATAAAATATTAAAAAAAAAAAAAGCCCAGGCAGCCTGACCGCTTAGCAGGGAGGTGGCCCTGGTGACTGTGGACGTCACCAGGCTCCTCCGGGGGCTCAGGCTCACAGGCAGGTGAGCCGGGCACTGTCCCCATGAGGCTGCTAGAGCAAGGCAGCCTGACTCAGCCCCACTCTTGCCCAAGGCGAAGAGCAGCTCGCGAGAGCTCTGGGCAGAGATGTGCACCTCACTCCTGCCTTCTCTAAGTGTGGAGGGGACAGACGTGCTCACCAGGCCTGGGAGGGGCTGAGGCATGCAGTGGACACGCCACCCATGTTACCCGGGGTGATGGCGGCATGCACACCAGCCAACCGCTCCTCCTTCTTGGCCAACATAGTTTGGGGGCTGGCTTTAGTTTTTCACCAGACGCCACTGACAGTGACTAGTAGAACTTCCTGACTTCTCAACAACTTAAGCTGCTGTTGGTATCTTTTTCCAAGCACCCTGGGAACAGCCAGAGAGACTTGTGAACCCACGCATTCTTTGTCTGGAGCCTCCCCTTGCTAACTGTGTCAGAGAAGTGCTTGATACGCCAGCCTGTTTAGAAATGCCCGTCTGAATATTCCCAGGAACCGGCCACTGGAGGATTAATGTGGCCCACGGATGCCACCATGGGAACTTACTGCCACCATCGGGCAACCACATGGCAAACTGGCTGTTGTGCCTCGTCACATAAAAACAGTTTTGTGGGGATTTCTCTAACTCTCGTTTGTGGCTGCTCCCACTGTGCTGTATATTTTCTGTCTGTGGGGACCTAATTACGGAGCCGAGACGTTTTCTGTAATCCACGCACCTGCTGCATCCAATGCCATTCAGCAGGAGCTGTCTGGATGCTGCACATGAGATGGACCCCACTTTGCACCCCGTGACCCTGAGGGTTCCCAGGTGAATCAAAGCTTTGCGGTGAACCCTTGCTCCAGGAATGCAAGATCAGTTCAGAAACGCTGGTCCTAAGACTGCATATGCTAATTTACAAAGCAGGGGCGTCCTAACAGCTTTCCTTACTCAGCACCACCCTCGGAGCAGGAGGCATGTTCTCTGACTGAAGCCTTGTGTCCCCCTCCTTTGTGACATTTTTCAGATAAGCAAGTGAGGCTTGGAGAGGTAACTTCATTTGCCTCCGACGACACAGCTGGCAGGTGCTAGGACTGCGCTGAACCCAGCCCAGCTAACAACAGGCTCGAGCCGGAACACGGTGGACTGTGCTGAACCCAGCCCGGGCTCGAGCCGAAACACGGTGGACTGTGCTGAACCCAGCTCAGGCTAACAACAGGCTCGAGCCGGAACACGGTGGACTGTGCTGAACCCAGCCCAGCTAACAACAGGCTCGAGCCGGAACACGGTGGACTGTGCTGAACCCAGCCCAGGCTAACAGCAGGCTCGAGCCAGAACATGGTGGACTGTGCTGAACCCAGCTCAGGCTGTAACACGGTGGACTGTGCTGAACCCAGCTCAGGCTAACAACAGGCTCGAGCCGGAACATGGTGGACTGTGCTGAACCCAGCCCAGCTAACAACAGGCTCGAGCCGGAACACGGTGGACTGTGCTGAACCCAGCCCAGGCTCGAGTTGGAACATGGTGGACTGTGCTGAACCCAACCAGGGCTAACTGCAGGCTCGAGCCGGAACACGGTGGACTGTGCTGAACCCAGCCCGGCTAACAACAGGCTTGAGCCGGAACATGGTGGACTGTGCTGAACCCAGCCCAGCTAACAACAGGCTCGAGCCGGAACACGGTGGACTGTGCTGAACCCAGCCCAGGCTCGAGTTGGAACACGGTGGACTGTGCTGAACCCAGCCAGGGCTAACTGCAGGCTCGAGCCGGAACACGGTGGACTGTGCTGAACCCAGCCCGGCTAACAACAGGCTCGAGCCGGAACATGGTGGACTGTGCTGAACCCAGCTCAGGCCGTAACACGGTGGACACGGCCACGTCCTTTCAGGCACTCACTGCACAACCTCCGCAGGAGCCTCATGCAGGAGATTCAAACGCAGTCTGACCTGAGCAGGCCTAAAACTGGACAACTGCTCTGATTTCTGGGTTAGAAAGGTGGATTTTTAGGCTTCCTCTATGCCCACAAGCCCACAGGCTGGCCTCAGTTTCTGAGTGCGGGTGGGCATCCGCAGGCACGCCAGCCCCCTTACCATCTCCGGTTTTGCTTGGGTTGGGTTCCGGAGAACTCAGAGGCCTCAGGGGAACGATGATGTCTTCGACGTTCACCCCTTCATCGCCGTGCTTCTCAGAAACGTGGGACAGCAGTTCTGACTGACTGGGAGAGAACAGGTTACAGCATTTACACATGAAGATGGCCGTGTTTTCTGTAAGGAAGAAGGAAAAAGACGTTATTGCATCTCCACGTCAACAAGGGTTACTCCCAACTGCCCGAGAAAGCCCTGCAGGCGCCCTCCCCAGCCACCGCCAGGCTCCCGCAGCTGCGTCCTCCACACACAGACAGAGCAGGAGGCCCCGACACTCGCCCTCCAGCGGCTCAGCCCTGCAGGACGGCGTCTGAAGCAGGCCTCCCTGTCACCCCGACTCCACCACAGCCGGGAAAAATCAAATCCCACCCAGCAGGTGGATGAGCCGCCCCCACCACAACCACGCGTGGCAGCGAGACGCTCTCACGTTAGGGGCAAGGAAAAAGTGCCCGAAACAGCTGAGACGCCTTCCGGTGACCGGCACAGGAGGATGGGCACCGGTTGCTTTTTTCAAAACCACTTAGTTCCTGCCGGAAGCAGTAGTACCAGTCACAGATACTCACTGTTGGTCCATTATGCTCAGCCCATTACACCAGGAGGAAGACATAAAGGGGGAGAAACACCCACTTTACGTCTGGTAAAATAATTACGGGCGAACATAAAACACTAAATCCAGGATCTGATTGCCATTAGAGGTTCGTGCTTTCTCATCATTAGTTTTACATCAGTAAGGCAAGGGAGAACGGGGAGGACGGGAGGACAAAGTCAGAAGGGCCCGTGTTACACCCCAGGTCCACTCCCCGGAGGCCAGGGAGCCCGGTGGCCTGGGAGAAGAGGAGAGGATCGCTCAGCTGCTGCAGCTGCAGGGGGAGCGCGGGCGACACGCCCACTGGCAGCAGGAACACAGCAGGACTCAGCAAACCTCAGCGCTGCTCCAGTCTGCCTCTCCCCGCCCTGCGGGCCTCGGCACACAGCTGCTCAGGGGAACACGTACCGCCACGCCACCCAACTCCCCGTGACAGTCTCCCAACCAGGCTCTTGGGGCCGCAGCCCCTGCCCCACGATCCTCCGACACGCCCAGCCTTCGCTCTCTGGCCCCGGGACACAGCCACTTGCCCTCTCCTCACTCCCGGCCGCCAGTGTCCCGCCATGGTCTGGGTGCGGTTTGAGGTTCCTCCAAGGCTTCGTGCACTGAAGCTTAGTCCCATGGCGAGGTGTGAAGAGGTGGACACTCAGTCTGACTGAGGCTTCGTGCACTGAAGCTTAGTCCCATGGCGGGGTGTGAAGAGGTGGACACTCAGTCTGACTGAGGCTTTGTGCACTGAAGCTTAGTCCCATGGCAAGGTGTGAAGAGGTGGACACTCAGTCTGACTGAGGCTTCGTGCACTGAAGCTTAGTCCCATGGCGAGCTGTGAAGAGGTGGACACTCAGTCTGACTGAGGCTTCGTGCACTGAAGCTTAGTCCCATGGCGAGCTGTGAAGAGGTGGGCACTCAGTCTGACTGACGAGGTAGGGGTCCTCTGAGAAGAGATCAGGATTAGGTGAGGAGGTTAGGGCCCCGTGGCTGAATCCCAGAGGCTTCATCAGCAGAGGAACAGACACATCCGCACTCCTGGTCTCTTGTCATCACCCCGTTAGGCCCCTGGACCCTGCGCTTCTGGAACCACGAGCCCAAATCAGCTTTTCTTCTTTATGAAGCAGCCTGCCTCGGGCACTTCATTATGGTACTGAGACTCCTTGCCTCTGGTTCACACACAGCAGCCAGCGTCTTCCACCACACCTGCCAGCTCCCAGGCACCTCCCCTGCCGCAGGTGTGAGGGTGTGTGTGAGGGGCAGCCCCGCCCCCACCCCAGCAGGGATGTCGTCCCTGACAGTGTGCAGGCTTGCTGGGCTCCCTGGGGATGCCCACACTTCCACATTCTCTAAGACAAAGCCGTCTTCTGGCTGGGAAAGCTGCTCCCGGGCCTCTCCCTGACAGCCCCGCACGTGGTGCTGTAGCATGCAGAAACCAATGCCTGCCACTCAGGGACCATGCAGGGCCACCAGCTCCTCTTCCCCCATTCTATTAGGCCTTTCCCTCTGGCCTGCAAACATGCTCTTGATTCTTCCACCTCAAAAATCTCTCTTTTCAGGGACTGGAAATATGGTGTAGCAATGAAGCTGCGGCCTGTGACACCAGCGTCCCACACACGTGCCAGTTTGAGCCTAGCTGCTCCACTTCCTATCCAGCTCCTGGCTAATGCGCCTGGGAAAGCAGCTGAAGATGGTTCGAGTATTTGGATCCTTGTCATCCACACGGGAGACCTGGATCGAGTTCTAGCCTCCTGGTTTCAGCCTGGCCCAGCCCCAGCCAATGCAGCCTTTCCAAGGAGGGAACCAGTGGATAGAGGACTCTCTCTCTAACTCTGCCTTTCAAATAAATAATAGGGGCAGGGGCTGGTGCTGTGGTGTAGCGGGTATAGCTGCTGCCTACAGCTCCGGCATCCCATATGGGCACTGGTTCAAGTCCCAGTTGCTCTTCTTCCAATCCAGCTCTCTGCTATGGCCTGGGAAAACAGTAGAAGATGACCCAAGTTCTTAGGCACCTGCACCCACATGAGAAAACCCAGAGGAAGCTGCTGGCTCCTTGCTTCAGATGGGCACAGCTTTGGCCATTGCGGCCAATTGGAGAGTGAACCAGCAGATAGAAGACCTCTCTCTCAATCTCTCTCTCTCTCTCTCTCTGCCTCTCCTTCTTTCTCTGTGTAACTCTTTCAAACAAACAAACAAACAAATAAGTAAATAAATAATGGGGGCCAGTGTTGCAGCGTAGCAGGTTAAGCCACGGCCTGTGATGCCAGCATCCCATATGTGCGCTGGTTCCAGACCCTGCCGCTTCACTTGCAATTCAGCTCAATGCTAATGCTCCTGGGAAAGCAGCTGCAGGTGCCTCAAGTATCTGAGCCCCTGCCACCCACATGGGGGACCTGCATGCAGTTCCTGGCTGCAGTCCTGACCGTTGAGGACATCTGGGGAGGGAACTAGCAGCTGGAAGATCTCTGTGTGTCTTTCCCCCTCTCTAACTCTGCCTGTCAAAACATAATGGATAAGTCTTTAACAACGACAAACCTCTCTTCATCCCCACTCCCCCCACCGCACTGCTCTCCTCTTCACAGTACAGCCCCTCCCCATCAGAGGCCCTCACAGCCCTGCTGGGGTGAAGGCGGGGCCCTGCAGGGCCCTGGTGCCAGAGCAAGCTCTTCTCTTCATTTCCCAGATGGAACTCACAAGCCGGGCAGTAGGGACCCAAGAGAGTCCTTCCCTACCTAGCAATGCAGGAAATGGAAATTTAACAAAGCAGAACATTGCTTTGTCAATGAAACGCTCTCGCGACTACTGCTGGCCAACACTCCATTCTCCAGGAAATGTTCTGTTCCCAAGGAACCGAAATGCTTCCCATGCAGGAAGAGGCGACGCTGGTACTTTTCCTTTCCGGGCTTCCTCCAGCAACCCTGTCACCTCGGCGGGAAGGGGTTGGCGGGCCCTGGCTCACAGGTGAGGAACCTGAGGCTCAGATGGGAAAAGCCCAGGGCACAGTCAGCGGGAAGCAGATGCCAGACCCTGCAACCTGCTGCCGTGTTGGGTTACCGCTAAAACTAAAACTCTCTTGCCTCTACCCAGCCACGTGTCAACTGCATGCCTATTCGTTTCGGTCCTGTCCCCAGGAACCACAGTGGCAAACCACAAGGCCAGACCTGGCCATGTGAAGCCACCATTTCACAGGGGAGGCAGACAGAGCACAGGGCAAGTGCTTCTCACTGATCGTGCTAAAATGATTTCCCCGCTGCCCTGGAAGTAGTCTTGGTTCCTCGGGTGCTCGGGGGGCAGGGAAATCCGTGATGTGTATGGGGCCCGCAGAATCGCTGCACAGGGTCTCTTGGCTCAAAGGCACAACAGGTGTCATCTGGAGATGAAATAACTGAAAATGCTGTCACAGCCACATGTGACAGGGCGCTGGCACCTGCCGCTGCACAGCCAGAGGCCTGAGCACCCAGGGTGGCGCTCGGCCATCTGTTCTCCACGGGCGCAAGTCTCCACGGTGCCTGCTGTGGGTTCGGCTCTGTTAAGCAGGGGACTAGGCCTGGAGTTCCTGAGGTGGAGGCAGAGAGAAGCACATGTGGGGTGCAGATCACGAGACGGGGCGCAGGGAAGTGGACCCTGGCCGCCGGGACCCTACCTGCCCACAAGCACCACCCTGGCCTGCAGGTGTCCTGACGGTCATTCGGGTCCCTATGGGACGGCTACAGATTGAACTCACACAGACCTGGAACCCCAAAGTCTTGTGCTGAATGGACGAATGCTGGGGGGGGGGGGGGGGCAGAGGCTGGACCCACTGATGGTGTCTCAGGAGTGGGTTGCTAGGGTACAGCCCCACGATGGGATCATGCCAGCTTTGGGGGGGGGGGTGCAGAGAGACGGGACGGGGGCCGTGCCATGCTACCTGTTGGCCTCTTGGCTCACTGTGACTGCTCCCCACACACCTCCTCCACGGCCAGCCCCCACCCGATGCCAGAGTCACACAGCTGCTCAATCTCAGGCCGGGAACCTCCAAGCTGTGAGCCCAGAGACGCTGCCTTTCCCTCCCAGGTGGCTCCTCTTGAGGTTTTTTTTTCTTTTCTTTTTTTTTTAAGATTTAGTTACTTACTTGATAGGTGGAGTTACAGACAGAGAGAGGGAGAGCCAGAGAGAGAAATCTTCCATCTGCTGGTCCATTCCCCAAATGCCCGCAATGGCCAGAGCTGGGCCAATCCGAAGCCAGGAGCCAGGTGCTTCTTCCTGGTCTCCCATGAGGGTACAGGGGTCCAAGCACTTGGGCCATCTTCTGCTTTCCCAGGCCATAACAGAGAGCTAGATTGGAAGTGGAACAGCCAGGACTCAAACCAACTCTCAAATGGGATGCCAGTGCTGCAGGCAGAGGCTTAACCTGCTGCCCTACAGTGCCGGCCCCTCCTCTTGGGTTTTTAAAGTCTTGAAAACCTGACTGCTACGGGATAAAGTCGTGAAGATCACCTGCCCCATCATCTGACGTCAGGATTGTTCACATCTCTAGACAAAGTCCACGTGCACACCAGCTAGGCCA